AGCCATGGATGAGGGAGGGAATATTCCTAAAATCATCCTCCCGCCCTCCCCCAAAGACCAAGCGACCAGGCTGACCTTGGCAAAGTCTCGTGAAATTTCTCTTCCGCGGCATCCATCGCCTTCATCGTTCCAGGTCACGCTGCCGTTCTAGGGGGAAAAAGAAGAGAGAGCTGAAGGATTGTGTGGGGAATTCCGTGAAGCCCGTGCCTTTGTGGGCACAAGCACATGCAGAGGAAGATGGGCCCTGGTTTAGACTGAGGAGGTGAGAAAGAGGAGGGACATCCGTGCGTTCTCCTGGAACTGCTGACATTCAGCTTGCACTGGAAAACGGCTCTTGCTCTTCCAGGGGAACACTGAAGGCTGGGGAAGGAATTCTGCTTGGTCAATCCTCATCCCGATGGATCACCAGGACTGGAAGGCGGTAAGAGCAGCTCCTGGCTATCAGGGAGCGCTAAGCCCACCAGGCTGATCCCAGACAACCTTTAAACCAAAAAGTTCACAGAGCCGAGTCCAGGAAAGCCGGTGCCCTAGTGCCCCTCTCACCAAGGAAGCCGCAATCACACCTGGCTAAGAGACACTTCAGCATAAAAATACACGTTAATTAGAGAGGAGGTCCAAGAACGGAAATCTCGGAGTCATCTGGTTGTGACAAACACATTGAATTACTAAGATGAATAGCTGCTGTCACGGCCGGCCAAAGCTACAGCTCCCCCTTTAAAACACACAGCAGCAAGCTGCCCTAATGCCTGCTGATTTCGTTTGAGCCAGTAATTCCCGCTGGAAAGTCAATTACCCAGAGAGTCCCATCAACTGAAAGATATTTAATGGGGGATTATTGCCACTTCTGTTATGTCAGCTGTTTATTACAGCAGATCAATTCGCAGCCAGCGCGAGGAAGGGGTCTCAGGAGCGGTTTTGTTCACAGGAGGGTTCAGGCTGGGAGTCCTTTGCTAGCAGAGATTAAAACACACCAAGTTTTGGCTAATCACAGTAACATCCAGCGGCTCCTGAAAGCTCGCTGATAGGCAGCCAGTTAGTTCAGCTCAAGCATCGCGTGTGGCTAATCAGAATAAAATACACACGCCAGTCTCTTTGGAAGGCTACACTTTTGCCTCCTCAACTTGATAATCTATAGGAGCATGATTTTTAGTTGTACTCAGTTATAAATTAAAGGGGCAAAACTGTCCCTGGCATTAAAAACTAAACTGGGAAGTCCAAGAAGCAAAATACTTGCAAGGCACTTGGGTCATGCCAAGGGCTTTATTCTGCTGGATGTGGACAGGGAGGAGAAGGGGGCTGAAAGGCGGCAGCAATTCTGCATTGCTGGTGGGTTTGAACTTGACAAAAAAACAGGGAATAAAACGGTCCATGGGCTTGAATCCTCTTCAAAAGTTCTTTTTCCTGTTCCCTTTGAAGAAGAGCTAAAATGAGAAAAAAATCAGAGGACCATTAAAGCTTGTTATGCTGAACAACAAGCAGAATGAGAGCTGCTTCCCAGGCCGCTGAGATGCTCCAGAGCACGGTGGCTGAACACGCCCGGCACAACAGGAAGAGCCAGGGGAGCTCGGAGGCAGCTTCCATATCCAACTTCCCCCCCATTCCTGTCGAGGAAACAATGTTACGGACCCCAACGGCCCTCCTGTGTGCACGCAGCGGGAGCCCGAGAAATCAGTGTATCCTCCTGGGTCATTAAAAGAGCTTTGTATAAGGCAGGCAAGGAGGAAAAAACACCCACTGCTGAGGGAGGCAGGTTGTTCTGTCGGGAGAAACCTGCCTCTCCCTCTGCCGCTTTGTGTCCAGGGAATTTCCCGGCGTCGGACAAACAGCCGCTGCTGGAGCTCTCGCCTGGCTGAAGCTTCTTGCAGAAACAGCCACCGGTTAAAGCCCCTCAGCCGGGTGCTCCGGTGCCAAGCGTTGCCAAAAGGGCAGGGAATTTGGGAAAGGATCCCTGGGTTTGCAGCCCACCTCCGGAGCCTCCCCGGCTGCTCCCAACGCGCCTCGGGAACCAGCTGAGCACTCCCGGGATTTGCCCCTCCCAGGGGCTGCAGGCCTGACCTGGGAAGCAATTATATCTTGCAGCTATTTTAGGATTACTCCCTAACCACCTGGAATATCTTATTAGAGGAAAGCTCAGATGTCCAGAGCAATTTTGGTTTCCAGTTCCACAGTTCAAGAGCTGGAGCTTAACCCTTCCGTTGGAGGCACCGTTTTGGAGCCGGCGAAGCGGGAATGGCAAACACCTTCCCGCCTCTTCCAGCTTGTTCTTTTCAGGGCAAAAACTTTACCAGTGACTAGCCTAAAACCGCAGAGACATAAGGTCACGTCTGCAGGACAGTTTCCACCCAAATACAACCACCTCAAACGTTTCCTTCTCCCCTGCCTTGGTTTCATGCAGAGAGGGATCCGGCTAAAACCTGGTGGTTTTAACCACGCCACAAAGCTGCGCTCCGAGGGGGAACGCTGGAGCGGAGAGAAACGGCTGGAGCTGGAAAAAGTGACAGACGGGAGCAGGGCTGCAACGTCCCCCACAGCGCGGGAAGCCGCGGGGCAGGCGCGAGCACCTTGGGTCACCCGGAGGCGCCGAGGCAACGCCAAGGCAGAGGGGCAGCAATTTGAGGATTATCCCAGAATCCAGCGAAATTCCTTTTGTGGGGCGAGTTAAGCCTTAGGAAGTGAAACACATGCTATTATAAAGAAAACTGTTGTACTACAAAACAGTGATAAGATCGGGCCGGCTGTCCCGAGCTGGACCTCCTCGAGCATGAAGAACCCAGTTATAATTAGTGGAACATGGTCAGAAACTTTGCTGGAATCGGAATAAACCCTTCCTGCTCTTAGTGGGAGGTCAGTACCTGCTGCTTCGAAGAAGGGGTCTGAAGATCTATTAGTGATTTAGGAAGGGAGGATGAGGCAGAAAAGCAAGCAAGAGAATGGGCTGCAACGAGCAGGTTAATTAGCTGTTTTAGCAAAGTTCTCTTTTTTTGCATGTGTGCTCCCATAACCTACAGACTGCAGCATTAACACAGTTCTTTGCCAAACAAGAATCCACCTACACATCCTTCGGCGAATGCGGGGCTCCCGGAAAATGACTCTTATTCACAAATCCTTGCTGGATGCAGCTAAAATACAAGTGACAAGAAGATTCGCTCTGCGGGAGCAGAAATTCTCACTGCCCCATAGGGCGCTACTAGAATCACGCTGAAGTGAGAATCTGCCATAATCCAACACATTTGAGCTCTTTCCACCTGCAGGCTTCACCGGTAACTAGAATTTCTGCGCGTTGGCACTGAAGCAGACAAGCTGCAACTACTCCTGGTGATAAATTTAGCACCTGAAAGAAACCTAAAATAAGACTTATCTTGCCCAGGCTATAAATGAGCGGAGAATCTGCTCCTTAGCCACGGAGCTCCAGGTGCAGCAGGGTCACCGCAACCTAGCGGAGCCCTTGTGAATCCCACGGAGCAGCCCCGAGATGGAGATTTGGGGCAATTCTCAGCTGTTGCACTGGCTGCTTTATACACTTGCACGTGGGGCACGTCAACTACAAACATGGACAAACCTTGGATTTCACGTGCAGACCCTGGAAGCTTTGCAAATATCTAGTCACTAGGTAGGTGCATTTGCTTCCGAGATGCTTCCCCACCACGGAGAGCTCATTTTAAGTTACAGATCACTACGAACTCCAAATTAGCTGCTGCAGCAGGAGCAGAAAGGCACCGGGATGCAGACTTCATTTAACCAAGCCGAAGTGATGGATTTCAAGAGAGGTAGCAAATTTAAGAATTAAAACACTTACAGAAAATGGCTTTTAATAAAAAAGGGGGAAGAACCCGAATATTTAAGACCAGTGGGTGAGACCAATTCTCTCATATCAAAACTAGAAAGAGGAAATGAACAGTGAGTGACCTGCACTTGGAATTAAACATCAAGCCATTGCATTGGGCCCTGGATATCCCAAATAACTAGAAAGCAAAGTGCACTGCACAAAAGAGCTTTTCTGTTGCAGGGATCTTCACCCTCTCTGGATTAATGAGCATCTCCTGAGCTATACCTCAGTACACACAGCACTTGAGGCGCATACTTGAGATTATGGAATCTCAACCACTCATTCCTAGACCCTAGAGCAAAAGCAAAGTAATTATTTTAAGCTGACCTACCTTAATAAACACTGTGACCTTTGGAAAAGTTGAGGTCAGGAGTTTCAGAAGTGGCTGGCGCTTTCTGAGGCTCTAACTTGAGGCATCCCTAGAAGACAGGCTGTGCGCCACTCTGCAAAGCAGACACTCGCTTTGGGGACACTCACCTCGCTGCATTTAAGCGGGCACCTAACACCAGCTGATGCCCAAAAACCTCACCTCAATTTCACATTCCTCAATGGAATGCAGGTGTGAACGCACGTGCTGCAGCAGCAGCGGCTTGGGAAAATAGTGCTTGTGCTGCTGGCTCCTCAGCTGGTGTCCAGCCTGGGCTGCAGAGGGAAAATATGGGAAAGCAGCAGCAAAAGAGCCCGGCCGTGCTCCTGCCTTTGCCCATAACCAAAGACATCGCTGAGTTATGTGAGAACCCACATCTGCTAAAAGCCCCGTTTTCGCCCGCGGAATTAAAAGCTCATTTTTCTGCGGGGCGAGACGGCGAGCGCACGGGGCCCTTTCTCGCCAGGCCACAGGAGCCCTCGGCCGTCAGCACCGTGGTGGATTTCTGAGCCGTCTCTTTTGTGCACCGGCTTGTTCTACAGTTATTTACTCTTCGGCCGGGAGCGCGGGGCCTTTCCCGTGCGCCCGCCTCCCTATCGCACGCCTCCCAGGCAATCTTAACCTCACGCTTTCGAGATAACTTTTCCCCCAGGGACATGCATGCTGGAAGAAAAAAAGCCACCCTTGAAAGAAGAAATCCAGGCGACTTGTTCTCCTCTTCTCGAATACCACAAATGCTCCCCGGCCGGATCTCGCTGGAAATGGCACATACCTGCAGGTTACTAGCCTGGAGCCTCAGCAGAAGCTGAAACAAAAGTGCCAGATTCAGGAATCGTTTGGAAAATTTCCTGGAGAGCATATGCATGTCTCCATCTGATCCAGGTTTTTCTACCAACACAGGCAAACAAAAAGCCCAGTACCTTTAAGCATAGCTCTTAAATAGAAAAAACATAACCAGTGCCTGCGTGTGGACAGTTGCACACAGCCTACAGAAATACGTGGACAAACCACTGTTTCATGCAGCTTTTTCTGGCCCTTGTGCCAGCTAACAGGTCCCATTTGCCTTCCCACCTGCTTCCTCCTCGCCCCGCGCAATGCCCCGCGCCGCGGGCTGCTGCTCTGCGGTTAAATTTTTACCCTCTGGTATGCAGGCTCCGCTAGCGAACGCAAACAAGGCGCTCTGCAATATTTACCCGCCCCAAGGTGAATATGCTGCAGCAGCATTATTAATATTTTGCGCCTCCACTTGAGCACGCCAGAGCAGCTCGCTCTGCTCGGCAGCGGCACCGCGCACACGCGCCAGGCCTTGCTGGGCCACACCAACCGTCCGTCTTGTGCAGAATCTGCTCAGCCTTTTTTGTCAGAATTGTACATAGGGAGAGGTGTGAACCCGCCCGCTTTCTTTTACAATCCACACATGAACTTGATATTCATAGATCTGTCTGATTCCTTTCCAACCTCGCCTACGAGCAGCGAAGCAGGCTCGGCAGCAAGAGGTTATTTTTCACTTTGCCTCCAACTCGATCTTCGCGCACCTTGGTTTCCAGAACAAACTGGCCTGAAATCACACCAAGCTAAGCTGCAACCCCTTCCCAAAATACTCAGAGGATACCCTGAAACTCAGCCGAGGAGAGCCGAAGCCATGGGGTCAGTATTAGCGCACAACACGACAAGCATAAAATAATTATCTGGATAACACGTTTTGCACATCCAAGATCAGACCTGCTACCTCCGCAGGCATTTATCTTCCCAAAACATGGCAAGCGCTCTGGGAATCAAGCCTGTTAATTCAGCAAGCTTCACAGGACTCACAAGATAGGCAAGTATTGTACGGAGGCACAAGGCCACACTTGTTCGCACCGCGGCAGCGGCCCGGCTGGGAGGAAAAACAAGCAAAGTCTTCATTTCTCAGTGTATGCTTTGGAAAGCGAGCCCCTCACAACCAGAGTCCTGCCTACCCGCCTGCACCCAGACACCAGAAAGAGGAAGTTTTTTCTGCCAGTCACTATAACCCAGTGAATTCTGAAATAATTTCTCCAGTGACTGTTACCTGACCAGCAAACCCACCCCGTTCCCCTAGTACGGTTTGAGTAACCACTTTTGAACCAAGGGATCTTGAGAAAGAAGCCCAGAGAAGCTCAGCAGTTCAGCAGCCACCACGGGCTTTGCAAAGGGGCAGGTGAGTGGGTGCTTTTGTCTACACAAGGTTTCTTAGCTCAAGAAAACCCTCAGTCTTAAGCAAAAGCCACTTTCTGTGCAAAATGACAGTTTGGTTTCAAATGGGCTTGCTTAGCCCATGCAGTCCTTGGGCTCTGTTTCAGTACACATGCAAATGCTGTAAAATGTCCCCAGAAATCTGATCAAGCTCTGTAACAAAGCAGCACACATACAAGTATTACATTAACTGCAATACCCACGTATGCCAAAACATAATCAAGAGGAGAATTCTTTTCCCTCTGGCACTTATCCACAGGCAGTGGTAATTAACTCTGCATTCAAACCACGCATCAAGCTCCTACTGTAAGCAAACAACACAGCCAGTTTCTTCCCTCGCTCCCACTCCCCCAAATATGAAGGGTTCTTCCTACTCACACGGGATCTTCTCTGCCCATGCCCAGGACACCAATCCCAAAGTCACTGCTGCCGAGAGATCTTGCACAGAGAGGTTACGGTTGAGGGTGAGATAACTCAAGCAAGGCATTAGCAGGCAAGTGGCTGCACCAAAAATACATGCAGCACCAGCCTGCCCCATTCCGAGTGGCTCGGCAGTGGTGAGACAGCAGAGAAACGAGCCAGAAACAGCGTCCTCCTCCCTTTTGCAAAGGCTGCTGCAGATTTGGGCTTAAAGGGGAGTGGTTTCCACCTGTTTTAAGAAACCCATAGCATTAAAGCAGCTGGAGCTCTTGTGAAATCTCGTTTCATGAAAGCAGAAGCTGAAAGAATGCGTGGGGGAAGTATCACTCTGCACGTGCCCTTCCAACCCGCGGTGTTCAGAGCAGGGCACTGCCTAGTTCTTGTTTGGGAAAAGCAAAATTACCACTGACCTGCTTGAGCTGCTCGTCCAGTCTCCAGGTCTGGCGCCCGGAGGGGGATCCGGAATACGTTTGCTTAGTAGTGTCTTTACCCTGCTCTTCTTTTCCCTGCTGTCCCCGCTGGTGCCCCGGAGCTGGAAGAGGACTGGAGGTAGAAGCCACTCTTTGGTTGTGCTGGGCAACTTTGGGAGCATGAAAATACTTCAGAGCAGCGCAGGCGTCTTTGCCAGTCCCATCAGTGCCGTCCTCGAGCTCTCCGCCTTCCTCCTCATCGTCGTCGTCCTCGTCGTCATCGTCCTCCTCCTCGTCCGGCTCCGAGGTCATGCTGCTCTGGTCAAAGGAGCGCGCGGGCGCA